CTTCTTCTTCTTCTTCATCGTGGCTATTTGAATTTCCTTCTTCTACTTCCCACATTTATCTTCTTCTTCTTCTCTCCTCCTACTTCTCCTCCCTTCCTCCTCTTCCTTTATTATTTATATACTCTCATTTCCCCCTTCCTCCTTAACCTATTCTCCTCCTCTCCTCTTCTTCCTCTTCCTCCTACCGCTTCATTCATCTTGCTTTGCATAAATTCTATAAACAGAACTTCATTACACTGTCTCGGAGTTCCATCAGGAAAGGATAATCTGTTTTACTAATCCTGAGTTTAGCTTCTAACTAATCAATCAGATTACAGTCGTATCCTTCAGGTGTGGTGGGTGTTTGTTGGGTGGTGTTGGTTTTGACTAGCCAATCAGATCACAGTCATGGCCTCCAATAACCAATCAGATCTGGAGCGCTAACTAGCCAATCAGATTACAGGTCGTGGCCTCCAACTAGTAATCAGATTAGGTAGTAGCGTTCTACTAGCCAATCAGATTACGGTAGTAGTCTCACCTCGCCAATCGGATCCGGTCGTCAATATATTTACCTCTACATCATGTCGTGTAACGTCGTGATAAATGCTCGTAACACAACCAAATATTACGTAAAACAAACAGTGATGACACGTGTTAGTACAGTGCAGGGAATTTGTTCTCAACTGTATAATAACACCTGAGCTTACCTTTACCTGTGTTCCTCACGTTCCATCTGTTTAAATACTCTTGTTTTTTATGAATAAATTAACTTTAGGTCGATACCATATGTATGCTTTTTCTTCTCAGGTGTAAAGCCTGTTATAAAATTTTGGTTGTCTTTCATTTTTAGATATTTTTACCAATGCAGTCTTTCACACACACACACACACACACACACACACACACACACACACACACACACACACACACACACACACACACACACACACACACACACACACACACACACACACACACACACACACACGACGTAAAATCTCAGAGTAATTGTGAATTTCTTTAATCATAATCATCTTGGCTGGTTAATGACCTCGTTTGACCTGATCTCCCAGGCTGCGTGGATGACCTGCGGGTGTCTGGTCGATCACTGCCATTACCACCAGCCGTAAAGCAGGACCAGCTGGGGTCGGGTCACGACCTCAGAGAGTGACCCGCGGCTGCCGGGCTCCTTGACGCCTGTTTTAACACTACTTGTAGCCCCCCTCTCCTGCTGGCACCTGGGGCCGTGCCTCCTGCAGGTAAGTGCCTGGTGCTTTCTCCTCTGCGGTACGTACCCCCGGTCGTACCTGCTGGTAAATGGTACCCCGGACCGTTACCTGGTGTGGAAGTACATGCCCCGGACCGTGCCTGCTGTAGGTACGTACCCCGGACCGTGCCTGGTGTGGTGGGTACCCCCGGACCGTACCTGCTGTGGGTACGTACCCCGGACCGTGCGGTGTGGTGGGTACCCTGGACCGTGCCTGGTGTGGGTGGGTACCCCGGACCGTACCTGCTGTGGGTACGTACCCCGGACCGTGCCTGGTGTGGGGTAGGTGCCCTGGACCGTGCCTGGTGTGAGTGAGTACCCCTGGACCGTGCCTGCTGTGAGTGGGTACCCCGGACTGTACTGCTGTGGTGCGTGCCCCCAGACCGTGCCTGGTGTGAGGTGGGTACCCTGGACCGTGCCTGCTGTGGGTGGGTGCCCTGGACCGTGCCTGCTGTCAGGTACGTGCCCCCGGACCGTGCCTGGTGGTGGGTACCCCGGACCGTTACCTGCTGTTAGGTAGGTACCCTGGACCGTGCCTGGTGTGGGTGGGTGCCCCGGACCGTACCTGGTGTGGGTAGGTACCCCGGACCGTCCTGGTGTGGTGGGTGCCCCCGGACCGTGCCTGGTGTGGTGGGTACCCCCGGACCGTGCCTGCTGTGGGTACGTACCCCGGACCGTGCCTGGTGGGTGGGTGCCCCCCGGACCGTGCCTGGTGTGGGTAGGTACCCCAGGACCGTGCCTGGGTGGTACGCGGACCGTGCCTGGTGCGGTGGGTACCCCGGACCGTGCCTGGTTGTAGGTAGGGTACCCCCGGACCGTGCCTGGTGTGGTGGTACCCCCGGACCGTGCTGGTGTGGGTGCGTACCCCCAGACCGTGCCTGGGTGGTGGGTACCCCGGACCGTGCCTGGTGTGGTACGTGCCCCAGACCGTGCCTGGTGTAGGTACGTGCCCAGACCGTACCTGGTGGTAGGTACCCCTGGACCGTGCCTGGTGTGGATGGGTGCCCGGACCGTGCCTGCTGTGGTGCATGCCCCCCGGACCGTGCCTGGTGTGGGTAGGTACCCTGGACCGTGCCTGGTGTGGTGGTACCCCTGGACCGTGCCTGGTGTGGGTAGGTGCCCCCGGACCGTACCTGCTGTGGGTACGTACCCCCGGACCGTGCCTGTGTGGTGGGTGCCTGGACCGGCCTGCTGTAGGTGGGTACCCTGGACCGTACCTGCTGTGGGTGCGCCCCGGACAGTGCCTGGTGTGGGTAGGTGCCCCCGGACCCGTACCTGCTGTGGTGGGTGCCCTGGACCGTGCCTGGTGTGGGTGGTACCCCGGGACCGTACCTGGTGTGGGTAGGTACCCCCGGACCGTGCCTGGTGGCGGTGGGTACCCCCGGACCGTGCCTGGTGTGGGTGGCACCCCGGACCGTGCCTGCTGTGGGTACGTCCCCCGGACCGTGCCTGGTGTGGTGGTACCCCGGACCGTGCCTGGTGTGGTGGGTGACCCCCGGACCGTGCCTGGTGTGGGTGGGTACCCCCGGACCGTGCCTGGTGTGAGTACGTACCCGGACCGTGCCTGGTGGGTGGTGCCCCGGACCGTGCCTGGTGTGGGTACGTGCCCCAGACCGTGCCTGGTGTAGGTACGTACCCGGACCGTGCCTGGTGTGTAGGTACCCCCGGACCGTGCCTGCTGTAGGTAGGTACCCCGGACCGTGCCTGGTGTAGTAGGTACCCCCAGACCGCCCTGGTGTAGGTGATACCCCCGGACCGTGCCTGCTGTGGGTAGGTACCCCGGACCCGTGCCTGGTGTGGTACGTGCCCCAGACCGTGCCTGGTGTGGGTACAGTACCCCCAGACCGTGCCTGGTGTGGGTACGTACCCCTGACGTGCCTGGTGTGGGTACCCCGGACCGTGCCTGGTGTGCGGACCGTGCGGGGTGGGTGGTACCCCCGGACCGTGCCTGCTGTGGTAGGTACCCCGGACCGTGCCTGGTGTGAGTAGGTACCCCTGGACCGTGCCTGGTGTGGGGTAAGGTACCCCGGACCGTGCCTGCTGTGTAGGTAGGTACCCCTGGACCGTGCCTGGTGTGGGGGGCACCCCAGACCGTGCCTGGTGTGGGTGGGTACCCCTGGACCGTACCTGCTGTGGTAGGTACCCCTGGACCGTACCTGCTGTGGGTGCATGCCCTGACCTTTCTGGGTGCGTGCCCCTGGGCCGTGCTGCTGTGGTGCTCCCCGGACCGTGCCTGGTGTGGTGGGTACCCCGGACCGTGCCTGCTGGGGTTGGTACCCTGGACCGTGCCTGGTGCGGTGGGGTACCCCCCGGACCACTTTACCTGCTGTGGGTAGGTACCCTGGACCGTTACCTGCTGTGGTGGGTACCCCCGGACCGTGCCCTGCTGGGGTGGGTACCCCTGGACCATGCCTGCTGTGGGTGGGTGCCCCCGGACCATGCCTGCTGTGGGTGGTGCCCTGGACCGCCTGCCAGGTGGGTACCCTGGACCATGCCTGCTGTGGGTAGGTGCCCCGGACCGTGCCTGCTGTGGGTGGGTACCCCTGGACCATTACCTGCTGTGGGTGGGTACCCCCGGACCAGCCTGCTGTGGGTGGTGCCCTGGACCCGTGCCTGGTGTGGTGGGTGCCCTGGACCGTACCTGGTGTGGTGGGTACCCCCGGACCAGCCACCTGCTGTGGGAGGTGCCCTGGACCATGCCTGCTGTGGTGGTACCCCGGACATGCCTGCTGTGGGTGGGTACCCTGGACCATGCCTGCTGTGGGTGGGTACCCCTGGACCGTGCCTGGTGTGGTGGTACCCCCCGGACCGTGCCTGGTGTGGTGGTGCCCTGGACCGTCTGGTTGGTGGTACCCCGGACCGTGCCTGCTGTGGTGCGTGCCCCGGACCGTGCCTGGTGTGGTGTCCCCGGACCGTGCCTGGTGTGGGTGGGTGCCCCGGACCGTACCTGCTGTGGAGTGGGTACCCCTGGACCGTACCTGCTGTGGGTAGGTACCCCCGGACCGTGCCTGGTGTGGGTGGTTCCGGACCGTGCCTGGTGTGAGTGGGTACCCCTGGGCCGTACCTGCTGTGGGTATGCCCAGGCCGTGCCTGGTGTGGGTACGTACCCTGGACCGTGCCTGCTGTGGTGGGTACCCGGACGCCCACCTGCTGTGGGTACGTACCCCTGGACCGTGCCTGGTGTGGGTGGGTGCCGGACCGTGCCTGCTGTGGGTAGGTACCCCCGGACCGTGCCTGCTGTGGTACGTGCCCTGGACCGTGCCTGGTGGTGGGTGGTACCCCGGACCGTGCCTGCTGTGGTAGGTACCCTGGACCGTGCCTGGTGTTGGGGGGGTACCCGGACGTGCCTGGTGTGGGGGTACCCCGGCCGTACCTGCTGTGGGTACGTACCCCTGGACCGTGCCTGGTGTGGTGGGTGCCCCCCGGACCGTGCCTGGTGTGGTGGGTCCGGACCGTACTGCTGTGGGTACGTACCCCTGGACCGTCCTGGTTGGGAGTGGTACCCCCGGACCGTGCCTGGTGTGCGGTGGGGTACCCCGGACCGTGCCTGCTGTGGTGAGTACCCTGGACCGTTACCTGGTGTGGTAGGTACTGGACGAATGCTGGTGTGAGTAGGTACCCCGGACCGTGCCTGCTGTGAGTAGGTACCCCTGGACCGTGCCTGCTTTGGTAGAGTGCCCTGGACCGTCCTGCTGTAGGTGGTGCCCCTGGACCGTACCCCTGCTGTGGTAGGTACCCTGGACCATGCCTGCTGTGGTGGGTGCCCCGGACCGTGCCTGGTGGTCAGGTGGGTTGCCCCCCTGGACCGACCTGCGGTGTGGGTGAACTTGGACCAGCTGGTGTGTGTGGTCATGCCTGCTGTGGGTGGTACCCCAGACCCGTGCCTGCTGTGGTGGGTACCCTGGACCGTGCCTGCTGTGGTGGGTGCCCTGGACCGTGCCTGCTGTGGGTAGGTGCCCTGGACCGTACCTGCTGTGGGTGGTGCCCTGGACGTGCCTGCTGTGGTGGTACCCCGGACCGTGCCTGCTGTGGGTGGGTACGCCCCCGGACCGTGCCTGGTGTGGGTGGGTGCCCCGGACCGTGCCTGGTGTGGTGGTGCCCTGGACCGTACCTGCTGTGGGTAGGTACCCCGGACCGGTGCCTGGTGGTGGTGCCCGGACCGTGCCTCTGGTGTGGGTAGGTGCCCCGGACCGTCTGCTGTGGGTAGGTGCCCCGGACCGTGCCTGCTGTGGGTAGGTGCCCGGACCGTACCCTGCTGTTAGGTGCCCCGGACCGTGCCTGGTGTGGTAGGTACCCCCGGACCGTACCTGGTGTGGTGGGTACCCCGGACCGTGCCTGGTGTGGGTGGTACCCCGGACCGTGCTGCAGTGGGTAGGTACCCCGGACCGTGCCTGCTGTGGGTAGCGTACCCCGGACCGTGCCTGCTGTGGGTAGGTACCCCGGACCGTGCCTGCTGTGGTAGGTACCCCGGACCGTGCCTGCTGTGGTGGGTGCCCCGGACCGTGCCTGCTGTGGTGGGTACCCCCGGACCGTGCCTGCTGTAGGTGGGTACCCCGGACCGTGCCTGCTGCAGGTAGGTACCCCCGGACCGTACCTGCTGTAGGTAGGTACCCCCGGACCGGCCACCTGCTGTGGTAGGTACCCCCGGACCGTGCCTGCTGTAGGTAGGTACCCCAGACCGTGCCTGGTGTGGTAAGTTGCCCCGGACCGTGCCTGCTGTGAGTAGGTACCCCGGACCGTGCCTGCTGTGGTGGTGCCCCCGGACCGTGCCTGCTGTGGGTGTGCCCCCGGACCGTGCCTCTGGGTGGTGCCCCGGACCGTACCTGCTGTGGGTAGGTACCCCGGACCGTGCCTGGTGTGGGTAGGTACCCCCGGACCGTACCTGCTGTGGTAGGTACCCCGGACCGTGCCTGCTGTGGGTGGGTACCCCTGGACCGTGCCTGCTGTGGGTAGGTACCCCGGACCGTGCCTGGTGTGGGTAGAGTACGTGCCTGCGCGGTGGTGCCCGGACCGTGCCTGCTGTGGGTAGGTGCCCCGGACCGTGCCTGCTGTGGGTGGTACCCCGGACCGTGCCTGCTGTGGTGGGGGTGCCCCCGGACCGTGCCTGCTGTGGGTGGTACCCCGGACCGTGCCTGCTGTGGGTAGGTACCCCGGACCGTGCCTGGTGTGGGTAGGTACCCCCGGACCGTGCCTGCTGTGGTCCCCCGTGCTGCTGTAGGTGACAATTGTTGGTTTTAGGTAAAGTATAAGGGTTGTCACCATCCTGTCTCCCCAAACTTTCCACTACTGGCCTCTGTCACCACCAGCCTTTACTCTACCTCAACTTTCACAACACTACCCTACTGTCAGTACCTCCACTCTCACACTGTCAGTACCTCCACTCTCTCACAATGTCAGTACCTCCACTCTCACCTCTCACACTGTCAAGTACCTCCACTCTCTCACCTCTCCCACTGTCAGTACCTCCTCTCTCACCTCTCACACACTGTCAAGTACCTCCACTCTCTCACACTGTCAAGTACCTCCACTCTCCACACTGTCTCAGTACCTCCACTCTCCCTCTCTCCAGTACCTCCTCTCTCAGTACACCACACTGTTGAGTACCTCCACTCTCAGTCTCTATGCACCCACTACCTAGCCTCCAACCGTCAGCTTTAGTGGACACGTCAGGACACATTGCTCCAGTAATAAAGTTCACATCACCTTAACCTTACTCACTTAAACGGACACCTAATATATGCAGTGTTTACATTATCGAACAACACCTAACACATTTTCTTAATTAATATCCTGTTGTTGATATTACGACTGTGTTTAAAGTGATGTTGTATGTAGGTGTGTTTATTACGTCTCCTGGGGGTGTGTTTGTCTCTGTTCCTGTTGGTGAGAACTGAAACACTGTATGTCTCAGTTGGTTGATGTTGTAGTGTATAGTGATGCCCTTGTATCTATGATGGTGTTGGTATTTCTGTTATATTCTTTTATTTGTGGCCAAAAGCCATTAGGTGGCCAAACTGCATTAGGTGACCAGAAGCCATTAGGTGGCCCATTTCATTCATTAGCCCAGGCCATCAGGTGGCCAAAAACTACATTAGGCGGCCTAAGAGCTACATCAGGTGGCCTTTTTTTTTCCTCAACTGTGGTCAGGTTATCAGTTAGTTGGTGTCATATTTTTGTTAATGTTGGCCGTCCTTCAGTGTAACTTAGAACACCTCGAGGGCCATTTGTGTACGATAATTATTCAAACTCTTTTCCCTCAGCTGTGGCGGGACAGCTAGAGGGCCACCTGTGAAGACGTGGACGAGTGCCTGTGGCGGCCATGTTTACACGGCGGTCTTGCTACAACCTGCGGCCCGGTTACCTGTGTGTGCGGCCAGGGCCACCTGGCGTTAACTGTGGTGGGGTAGCCTGGCCTCAGTGGCCATCCTCTGACGCCCCCTGGCCATCGCGGCCCTCACCCTCTCCCTCCTACTGTTGGGTGAGTCACCACACCACAACTCTTCGTAAATGTTTCATCTATGGTTAATTTTGTTTCTTCAGGTTAACATTGATTTTAAATAAAGAGGCTGATTATGTGAGGCTTTCTCTGTGTCGTCTGTCCGACCGTACGTTCATCTGTCTGACCGTCCGTCCGTCTGTCCGACCGTCCGTCCGTCTGTCCAAAACCGTCCGTCAAATCCTCAGGTGTTATAATGGTTAAGCAATTATTCATCGTTGGTAGCTGATTTTCTGTTCCAACGTCTTGTTTTACATTTCCTGAACACTCAAATTATATACGTCAAGTTGTTTAATACCCTGCCTGTGGAGACAATGCTTCCTAAGGACAAATGTGATCATTATTCAACTGATTCATCGTTGGTGAGATTATCAACTATGACGTGTAGACTTGGTACCCGTGTTGGGTGTTGTATCTCACGGCTGACAATATCTGCTGTAAGTTTCTATTATCTGATAAATGTTCAAGTTGGTACCTGACAGTGCTAGACTGGTGACTGGACAGACAGACTCGAAATAATCAGAATTTTACACAATAATATAATCCTAAAATATCCTGAGACGTTGCCTGCCTGAGTTTGGTACATTATGTTGTGGTTGTGTATATACTAGTCTGTGATTGGTTCATTATAGTGTCTTGCACCGTCTAGCCTACCAATCAGTACAAGTGATGTGCAGGCGTGAGTCTTCTCCATGCAGCTACCGTCAGTGGCTCAACCGGGCGTTGGCGGGCAACTTGGTGGTGATGTGGGCGACGCGGGTGGCGTGGGCGGTGAGGAGGCACTATCATCGCGGTGAAGGGCGGCAGGATGGAGGAAGGAAGTGGGACGAGGCTGAAGACGGCCCGGCAAACCGGTTAGCTTCCTCAGTGTCTCAAGTTCAACCTCGAACACGCTCACCCTTCAACACAAAAGAAAAGGTATTGCGTGAGTCTTGTCATAGTTACTCAGAATATAATCCAATAAGAGTAATATATGAGTAGGTCAAGGTAACTCTCTCTCTCTCTCTCTCTCTCTCTCTCTCTCTCTCTCTCTCTCTCTCTCTCTCTCTCTCTCCTCCCTCCTTCTCTCCTTCACACACACTCGCCGCCACCACAGCAGGGGTTTGTAGACCTGACAGTGGGGTCGTCTCCTCGGAGAACCCTGCCCAGGGGCCGGTAAGCCTGCCAGGGTGGCCATAGGAGGGACACCAGGCACCTCTCCTTCCTAGGGATGACCTCCAGGCTTTCGCATACAGAGCGACGGGTCATCTGCAGAGATCACTCAAGCTCTCAGCGATATCAGGTCCAGCATTTCAAGGTCACAGGTCAGAAGATCCAAAGTCAGCAGCTCATAATATTTTTCTGTATATCTTGATTCTTGTTACTTCCTCTGACCTACTTAGCTCCTCTCTCATCTGTCTCCTGCTGTAGGTCTGAGAGTGGAACTGGACGACAGCAGGAACTATCAGCTACTGGTGTCACAGGTTCCTGGAGGTGATGGACCTACTCAGAACTTGCTGGGGGCCTCAAGAGTCTTCCAGCAATGCGTAACTTCTA